CCCCCCCCCCCCCCGCACACCTGCACCACACCAAGTGCTCGGATGCTGAACACAAACAGCATGGCAAGTGTGCAGGCATATAAGATGTTTTATCAGTAAATATTACCTGGTTTCCTGAAACAAAAATTTTCTGTCATGTGCTTGTGACTCGTTCTTTATACGAACATATCTATAGTTTATTGTCTTTTAATGTCGTAGTCGCCAATTACAAATTAAGTCTGTTCATGTAGGTAGGAGACAGCCTTTTTTAGCGTAGTATTGATTAGTAAGTTGAATAATTTATTTTATTATGGAACAATGAGCTTCGTCATACCACGCATACGTATCAGTAATATTTCTTTGCTTATCACTAACAGCGAACAATATCAGTGTTTGCGATTGTTCATTTACTTATCGACTTTTGGTAGTGTATTTCAACAGTAAAAGACGAATTTGGAGAGAGTATGGTTGTTCTGGCATGAAACACTGTTGTTATATTTTAAACGTTTATAGCTTGACTAAAATATAGAGTTTTGCTGTCAAAAAGATAATGACAAAGGACAACTGATTAGCATATCATCACTTATGACTGTTCCAGTTTATTTAACTATGGAGACGTTTTACGTCAGTATATCTAAATATCAAACCGCAAAGGGATTCGTTCGTACAGCCGACTGAAACTGTTTATCGACATCATAAAGTTAAACGTTCTACAAAATCAATATTGACTATTGTACTGGTATACGCCTTTTCAGGGTTCGCGACGTCATCTTTGCAAAGTGGGGCAACACATTGCCTCGTCGGCTCGCCCCATGCAATGGGAATACTAATTGTCGCTACGGTCACGGTATTAATTGTTGCTCTATTGTGTTTGCCCCACTTGGTAAGATGTGGGAAGATGTGCAAGCCTATAGGGTACGTGTATCCCAAAAAAGTGACATTATAGAAATTATCTTATTGTTGTTAAGCACAGGACTGCATGCGCCTAGCTGGTAATAAAAAAATCAATTCAATTGTGTTTACGCACTCTTGTGTTCAGCATAGTGCTCAGGCATTCAAACTACTGTATAACCATATAAGATAATTTCTATACGTATGATGTCACTTTTTGGGGGGACACCCTGTACATGTATATGATCCAAACACATGTGCAGCTCGTCAAGTCTTGCTACTTGGAGGGGATATTTCATTGAATCCTGATCCCACTGGAAATAAAGCCATGCAAAGTCAGAAAATGTGAACACTGTGACTGTGAGAGAACAATTAAAATTAACCACAAAGAAATTTCTTCTATCAAAAATCTACTGAGATATATTCAATCATTCCATACATAAAGATATTACTTAGTACAGTTATGATTTTGAAAAGTCCCTATCGTGGATCTTATATCAGCATGTAGCTAGTCACTTAAATTTATCATTTATGCACTTTAATTAATCATACCCAAAGTATAAATGGAATGAATACGTATACCCATTTGACATTATCACACTATCTGCATGAAACCAGGCTTAAAGGCAATGCACTTTTGCTCAAATATGTAACCATTTCCAGTTTTGTTTTTACATATCCCAACCGACTACACTGTAAAAGTGGTGGCATAGGTGCATACATATGAACATCAACTTACTTGAACCAACAAATAACACTACCCAGCAGTGCACTGGAGCCGTCTCAAAGCACTTAACCATGCAATCATATATTTCGAAGCTAAGAAGGATAACTTCAACCACTAAATCACTTTTGACCATATTATTTCTAATGACCCATCCAAATTGCTCACTGCGATAGTCCGATGTATTATATACCCATTTTGCATGCTCGAGTTACAAGGTGTACACCATATATCATAAGCATATTCGAAATGAGAAAAATTTTAATGAAAACGCTTATATATCTACAAGATTTTGCAAGAAGGGAAACGGGATAAGTTAAGAAAAAAGGCAAACATCAAAGTGACCAAATGAATAGTTCCCGGCGGTGTTTGGGAGGCATTTAATGCTGTTTGCAACCAACTGTGCAATATCAATTCTTCCGGCCCTTTCAAAAGTGTTCGAGAGATTAGTGCTTCAACAAGTTAAGTATAGTCTCAAATAAGTTCTTTGTAGGTTTGCATGGCGATAAAAGATATAATATTTTGTTACAGTCTTGTTCATAAATTAACTTTCTTTGCTTGGTGAAACTATATGTCACAGTTTTTTGTAGGCAACATTCAACAACAGCGGCATTTCTGCCGGATTAACCATATGGCAGAAGCAGCATATGCTACGGTCCCGCGCTTACTCTTTTCGAATTTTTATTCCCTGTTTCGGCGCGGGTCCCAAACAAACATAATGCTCAGCAGATACATACTTTTAAGTTATTACTTTGTAAGTGTCAGCCTGTCATATTGTACGAACTGTTACATGAAGTACATTGCTTGCGGGCGCAGGAGAAAAGGGCGCGAAAACATTGTGACGGGTTTTATCTTTTATCGAGTTTGGTATTATCACTGTGTTATATATTTGTATTGTTGATTATAAAGGAAAAATACCTCACAATAACTTCGAATCTAGTGCTGACTAGTGCAGTCGTCAGTGCTGAATAAAAGTATTGTGAAAAATCGAAGTTAACGAGAATTGAAGTTTACATCATTCGAAGTTATTTTATGAGAATAGCTAGACACGATGCCACCTAAGAAGGCTAAAGCTACAGAGGCAACAAAGCAGCATGTTGTAGTCAATGAAGATGTCAACGCTACGGAAGTATTGGAATCTAAAGTGGAAACACCAAAGGCCTGTATTGATAAGGATAGTGGTGAAAAGGTTAAAGGACCATTATTAAATACAGAGACGGTGATCGTAGGTACCAATGAAGCCGACGTAGTAGAAATTCGAGAAGAATCAGATAGCAACGAGCCAAAACAAAGGAATTATGATGAATTAACACATGATAAAGAACTAAGGTTTGAAATGGCGGTTAATGCAAAACATGAAAGATCTATATGTATGGAAGAATTTCGAAGGGAACTTAGCATGTTACAGCATCTAACAAAGGATTTCGAAACAAAACCAGAAGAGGTAAATGCAAGAAGGGACAGGTATGAACAAACATTTCATAAATTTGTTATTAGTCACGAGAATTATATGCAGCATGAAGATGACATAGAGAAGAAAGACTTAATGACTGACAATTATAATGATCAACGCGATGTCAAACTACAACTAGATTACATGGTAGATCTGTGGCAAACCAATCGAGAAAGATATCTAAAACCCCCATCAGAATCTGGATATAGTTTGGCATCTCGTAAAAGCAGAAGTAGTCGAACATCTAGTAGAAGCAGTGTGAAAGAAAGAAGGAAGGTTATGGAAGAGGCAAAGTTGAAAATGCAGACCTTAAAGGAGAAACAGGAGCTAGAGCGCCAACTTGAAGTAGCTGAGCAAAGTAAGACAGAGCTTTCCAGGAAGATTAAATTACTGAATGCTGAAGCAGAGCTAAAGCAGGCAAAGATTGATTTTGTTATTGATCAGATTCCAGATGACGAAGGTGTCGATGGTATGAATGAATACCTACGAGACTTTCAAGGTCCAACTTGCCCTGAAAAATCTGAAATTACCTACCCCAGTCAACCTAAATTTGTCCCTGAGCACCCACCAACCCCTCATTCTCCAGCAGCACAGGTACAACCACCTGCACCATTGCTCCATAACCATCCTAGCCCTGAACCCAGACCGGATGTACCCAACCTAGCGACAACTGAGTCGGACAGATTCGATATTCCCAAAGTAGGACTAGATGTCACGAGGAATGAATTTTATCCAAATGCTAATCACGAAGCCACAAATACCTTGCAAGAAGAACCAGCGCCGCCACCCCAACCGCAGCTAGATGTATGGAACTCCATAGCACAGGCCATAAAGGAAGGCCCTTCTTTACCCAAAATAGAGCTCATGAGATTCGGTGGTGACCCCCTGGAATATGTAGAGTTTGTGACAAACTTTAAAGATAACATAGAATCCCAAGTTTCTGATGACTCCCAGCGGTTCACTCGCCTGTTAGCGCAGTGTGTTGGCAAAGCGAAGGATGCAATCCGAAGTTGCGTCAACCTTGATGTCGGCCAGAGATATAAGGAAGCAAAGAGTTGTCTTCTTGAAAACTTTGGCCAGCCTCACATTATAGTAGAAGCTCATATGAAAAAGCTCAGAGAACTTCAAATTAGAAAAACTGATGCGAATGCCTTGATGGAGTTTGTGCGTCACCTAGAAGATTCTGAGAGAGCATTAAAGAGCATGGGATCCAGCTACTCCAATCGATTAGACAATGAAGATGTAATAGTTATGTTGATGAGGAAACTCCCCGAAGATGGCTTAAAGAGGAAGTGGGTGGACAGAGCTGGAGACCTTATCAAGAGCAAAGACTATGTACAATTCGATGACTTTGTAAATTTCTTGAAGAAAGTGGCAGGGCGTATAAACAACAGGTATGGGAGAGAGCTTAAGCAAGCCAGTGAAGACAAGAAATTTCAGAACAGGTCAAGATTCGAGCAGCAAAGGAGAGTTAACGCAAACGCAATTCAGGGTGGTTTGAATAAGGAAGATACACCTGTAAGAACTGGTCGTAAGTGCCCGCAGTGCTCTGGACCACACGGTGTCTGGAGGTGCCAAGTATTCAAGTCATGCACCTTAAAGG